GAGCTCTTGCTCCATGCGGTCCCCTGAAAATGTCTCCCTCCCCACATGTGCTTCTTCCTTTTTCCTCTCTCCTTTTCTCCACAGCCAATCATAAGTCCAGCTGCAACAGTGCTGCTATGGGTGGATCCTTCTCAGCTGTAGCAACAACCAATCAGAGCACAGTCCTGCTTTCCCTGTCTGTCACTCACAAAGAGAGAAAAGAAAAAAAAAATGCTTTGCAACTGCTGTTCAACATTTAAAGCAACCAGCACATCTCTACATAAGAATCAAAGGTTGCTATATGGACTGCTGCTCTAAGGTCCTAGATATACTGGCCATTCCCTGCTACTTCCAGAAAAGCTGCTATCTGAAGACTAGAGAGAAGTTTGCCCTCCTATTGTTGTTACTGATTGTTTTGGAATATCATGTGATCCCACACCCCTCTCCTATTGAAATCCTTTAGCAAAAAAATCCTAAAAAAGACATCCCCTAGACCACGTGTCAAACACAAGGCCCACCGGTTAGGTCTGCTGCACAATGAAGGTTTTTACCTTCATGCATAGAATGTATGAAGATAAAAGAACCTTAAGCCTTTACAATCACTTTAATTGTTGGTGTGCATTGGACTAAGCATGTGTGACTGGCAGCCTCTGTACTATTGTGGGAGACCTCAGTGGTGTATTTAGATTTTGTGCTGCCCTAGGCAACACAAAAAGTTTGCCCCCCCCCCCCCCCCCCAATGAGAGAGCGAGAGAGTCAATAAGTGTGTGTATGTATATATGATTCTCTCTCTCTCTCTCCCTTTCTTTTGCTCTTCTCTCCCTCTCTCTTTCTCCCTCTCTCTTCCCCCCCTCTCTCCCCATCTCTCTTCCCTCTCTCTTGCTCTCTTCCCTCTCCCCCCCCTCTCTCACTCTCTTCCCTCTCTTGCTCTCTCTCCCCTCTCTCTGTCTCTCTCCCTCGCTCTCTCTTCCCTCTCTCTCTCTCTTCCCCCTCTCTCTCTTCCCTCTCTCCTCTCTTTCTCTCTCTCTCTTCCCTCCCTCTTCTCTCTTCTCTCTCTCCTCTCTTCCCTCTCTCTCCTCTCTTCCCCCTTTCTCTTTCCTCTCTCTCTTCCCTCTCTTCCCCCTTTCTATTTCCTCTCTCTCTTCCCTCTCTCGTCTCTCCCTCTCTTTTCTCTTCCCCCCCTCTGTCTTCCTTTATCGGATAATATGGGGCTGCACACACACACATATCCTCCAGGGCAGCAGAAAGGAGGGGGGGGGGAGGTGCGTGCAGTCCCATACGATCTGTCAGTGTAGGGGGGGAGGCAGGGAGATCACATAGAACACAACACAGCTCACCTCCTCCGGTTTCTTTCATCTCCACCTCTTCTCTCCCTGCTCCAGGCTGTCCCCTGGTCCTGACTCATCAGCTGCTGGAGGGAGAGGTACACAAGCATCGCTCTGTAACTGCCCTCCCCCACGCTCCACCACATTGATCCTCCTGCTGTCCTGGGTCACTGCAAGAGTACCGAAGGTACCCCTCTGTGATGTCGGCCCTGCATGGCTCTGTCCGCCTGCTGCTCAAAAGGTTCCTTCTTCCGTGGGGGCGGTGCCGCCCCCCCTAAAAATTGCCGCCCTGCCCTTGCGGTAGATACGCCCCTGGGATACCTGAGTACATTCTCAGTCAGCCCCTACAGGGGTGATCATTACACAAATACTGGAGAATAATGACATGCTAATAGGTGGGTGTGAAAAGCTTATGACCTCTGGGTTATTTAGCCAGATGAGATGAAACCAAGTGGCCATAAAGAATCCCTGGTCATACAATGGAAACGATAAAAGACAAGTGTGCATGTATGTGCTACTTTTAAATTGCAGTTTCAGAGTGTTTGCATAAAAATAGTTTTGCTTTAACATTCCTGGTTTTTTTTTGCCTTTTTTTTATTCCCCACTTACAAAATCAACTTGGGGTAATGCTTACTAATCCTAATCAGCCCTTTAAAAGAAAAGTGTGGGCTTTTTTCCCCCAATTATACTTACCTAGGTAGATGCAGCATCAGTACGATGCTGCAGCTGTCCCCCTCTGACTCTAAGTGTGAGAATTCAGTGATCACATGACCGCTGTTCGCTAAATTCTCACCGCTGCTCTGAGAAGAGAGTGAGACTTGTCAGTCACCACTCTCTGCTCTACCCCCACCCCCCCGGTGAAGGGGGGAGGGACCGGCTGGCTCAGGGTCTCAGCAGAGGCTGAGTCAGTTACGGCTCCAGACATTGGGGTGGATCCCAACTTTAACGTCAGAATCTTTCCCCAGCCTGGACTGGCTGAATGACATAATACCACTGTCAGCTGAAAATGGGTCACAGGAGTGCAGAATGAACTTCTCCCTTATGATTCACAGGAGAAGTACACCTAAAAGAACTTTGGCTGTACTTCTCTTTTAACAGAAGTGTTAAGGCGGCCGTAGATTTCCGATTTTCTTGCCAAATTATCGGCCGATAAAAAAATCTGCCGATATTGGTACCGTTAGTGGGGAAAAATGTTGGCTGTTTTTCTTAATTTTAAGAGATTTTGAAAATCGTCCAAGGTGGAAAATCCTGGGACGATTTGTTAGATCGGCCGATTTTCGCGGTAATTTATGGTCAAATCGGCCGTTCTTCTGGCCGATTTGACAATAAATTGGCTATGAAGAAAAAGAAGAAATAGAAGAAATAGACTTTGCAGGAGAAGAAGAAATAGAATATCAAGAAGAAGAATAGAGGAGAAGATGAAATAGATTTTGCAGAAGAAGACGGAGAAGAAAAAAAGCTGCAACATTGTATCTATTTGTATGCATTTCGGATACAGATGTTTCTATTCAAGTACAAATAGATACAATGTTGTTTTTCTCTTCTTCTTCTGCATAAATCTATTTCTTCTGTCAAATATAACAGCGGGTCTCTATGCAGGGACACCGCTATTATATTAATTGACGGCCGTAGATGGGAATAAAACCCGCTGACTTTATTTTTTAATTAGTGGCAACGGCAGCCGTCTGAATGACTGATTTACGACTTTTAAAAAAAGAAATGGCCGATTGTCCCCCACGTCTATGGCCTGCTTTAGGGAAACACCAGGATCTCCACAGTGCCTATGACTTGTGTAGAATGTATATGTACATGGGACACTCATCTTTCATCAGCATTGTGTTTCAGATATGTGTGTACTTTATCCTTTTAACAGTGGTTAAAATAATTAAAAAGAAGAGAAGAATGTCACTGGTCAAGTGAATGTCATTTCCAGTATATTAATACTTTCTTTATTTGCTGTAGGTGGACACAGATGATGTCATCACCAGGGATGAACAGATATTCTTGCTGTCCCAAGCAATGCGCCACTGCCAGACACAGATGTTGGCTCACAATTCCCAATGGAAACAGAATTCTTCAAATGGTTAATATTGTCTTACCTAGAAAGCCTATTCAAAGAGAAATAAGGAAATTGTTCATTCTGACCTGTGCTTCTAAAAATGCTAGTTGCTTTGCTGTCATGCTGACCCTCTTGCTTTAACACTTTAAGTCAATACTTCTACATCCATTGACACATCCATTGGTACAGATAAGGATTTCTTTCTTTTGAGATCTGCATACTTATTTTGGATTAGTGACACAGGATGTATTACAGCCATAGGGTCACGGTAACAACAATTCACTAAATGTTTTCAGAAGGAGATCAATAATGGCAGCCTCCATATTTTCTTGTGGTTTAGAATGGTTATTGAAATATTATGTCTTTATATACACACGTTTGTTTAGTCAGTAGTAGTGACATAGCTATACATATGTAATACATTGCTCAAAGAATGGCACACTCTATTTCATATCAGAAAACTCAACCTTAATTTTTCAGGCTTGATAAGGGCTCGTTCACACTAGGCTGTTTTGCCAACGCTTGCCAGAAAACGCCCCTAACGTTTGGCAAGCGTTGGTCCGGTTTTCCGGAGCGTTTTTAACGCTCGGACAAACGCTAAACGCCGCATGCGCAGTTTAGCGGCGGTTGCTAGGCTTTGCCGAGCGTTAATAACGCCCCACAAACGCCTATATGCATTTGAGTGGTGTTACCGCTCCGCAAACGCCCCGCAACCGCGTCGCAACCGCACCGCAAATGCCGGCCGGGCGTTTGCGGAGCAGCACCATAGACGAGAATAGGAGGCTTCAAAGCCTCCTGACTCGACCAGAGGCGTCCGTTTTGCCGCGACGCAACGCGACGCGACGCAAACGCTCCTGTTAGAACAGCACCATGTGCATGTGCAGAGTTGGCAGAGGCGTTGAAGCGGTAAAAACGCTTCCCAAACGCCTCTCTGCCGCCTGCACACAAGGCTAGTGTGAACGTAGCCTAATAGGTAATGCTTTGACTAGAAATTAGCACTGGGAAGGAGGCCATGGTTGACCTGGCATAAGGCTTACAATTGTACCATTCATTGATTAGGAAGAATAAGAAGTCACATGAATAGTGTTTAAAGTGGTTAGTGTAGGAAATGTTAGTGAAGGTTAAGGATAACTGTAGTTTTAACACAGTTACAGTTTACCTGTTAAATGCCCCCCCCCCCCCACCCCAACAGGCCTTCTGGCAGTTCTTTGTCTTACTCCTGTAACCTGTCCTCTCAAGGTCACCCGGCTTACCTCTTTAGAAATCTTCATTGTGCAGCCAACTGGACCTCACCATAGCAATGAATGTTGCTTCTTCTGCACATGTGTGGAAGACGAAAGTTCTGTGAGAGACATCTGCAGCACCAAAAAATGATAGAGGAATGTGGACAGGTAAGTATAAGACTAGCAGGGTTTGCTGGGATGTAAATTAAAGAATAATTGTTCTAACACTACTGTTATCCGCTAAAGAAACCAAGGAAACACATGCTAACCCCCATAAAATTCTATAGAGGCAAGGGCTTGCTATTAACTAAAATTAGAACTTTGGTGGTACATGTTTGATGGCCAATGGGCCAGATTATTACATTTTTCAAGTTATTAAACTAAACTCAGTATACATATCTTATAATTTTAGGGTGTGCTCCACAATGGGATGGAATAACCTGTTGGCCGCAAGGATCTCCCAACCAGCTGGTTTCAGTTTCCTGTCCAGGACACATTTATGACTTCAACCACCAAGGTGACTATATCATAAGTAGTTGGGAACAAAGACACGGCAACCTCAACTACATCATGGCTCTTTAAGCATCCAGTTTCCCTTGTTCTGAGATAACCCTTTTTTGGCAATGATTTCAGGATTTGCTCATAGAAAATGTGGCTCTTCTGGCAAGTGGCTTCAGGCACCAGGAGTCAACAGGACCTGGGCCAACTACAGTGAGTGCCTCACATTGGTCAGTCCAGGGAGAAGGACCCAGGAGAAGGTATGAAGAAACTGCACAAAACTGGTAAAAAAAATAAAATGTGTATACATCATTTGCAACAGTCAGTTAGACGTTAGATGTATTTTTAAAATTTAGCTTAAAAAATAAAGTAGTTGCCTTACTAGTTGCTCATGATATATTCACCATATTCTTGACTTTTTTGTTCTTTAATTAAAGTAAAGTAAATTGCATCTTTCTACAGGAAGTGTTTGAGCGTTTGTGGTTAATATACACTGTAGGATATTCAGTCTCTCTGGCCACGCTTCTGATTGCCCTCTGTATACTCTGCTTCTTCAAGTAAGATCTTAGCTTATAAAACTATTAGCATTAATTTTGTAGCCACCTATATCTTTCAATAAAAAGAACCCTTCGTGTTTCAGTCATCCAACATTAACAGCTGTTCGTGAATTGTTTGTTTTGTACTTACTTCCCATTGTGGTAGGCGCTTGCACTGTACTCGGAATTACATCCACATCCACCTCTTCACTTCATTCATCTGCCGGGCAGGGAGCATATTCCTAAAGGACGCGGTGCTCTATTCCAGGGAGGACGAAGGGGTAATAGAGGATGAAATGGGAGAGATTTCATTGGCTAAAGCATCAGAGCTCCAGTGGGTGAGTCAGTATTTTGAGTGTTTGTAAGTACCTGAAAGAAAATCTATCTAATCAGGCCCACCAACATGACCCATTACACAAGATAAAGAATACTTGGCTTCTGAGATTTATTTTTCTGATTTTATTACAGGTACTTATATAGCACCATCAATTTACGCAGCGCTTTACAATATATTATACATTCACATCAGTACCTAACCCTCAAGGGTTGTACAATCTAAGGTCCCTAACTCACATTCATACATACTAGGGCCAATTTAGACAGGAGCCAATGAGCCTGCCAGAATGTCTTTGGAGTGTGGGAGGAAACCAGAGTACCCGGAGAAAACCCCACGCAGGCACAGGGAGAACATGCAAACTCTAGGCAGGTGGTGCCGTGGTCGGGATTTGAACCAATGACCCTAGTACTGCCAAGCGGAAGTGCTAACTATTTAGCCACTGTGCTGCCAAGATTTAAATCACTTGATTAGACGTGCAATGTGTTTTTGTATGAATTGAAATTCAGACGAAATTTTTATTATTTGGAGATTCAGTTGTATCTCTTTCCTCCAGGAATAGCCGCAATCCGCTCAATTTAATATCAATCCCCGTGCTCCTAAAAACCACCCTCCCTTTTTCATGTGCACTCTGGAATGCCCACTCTGTCTGTAATAAGCTCACCTCTGTCCATGACCTGTTTGTCTCCCGCTACCTTAGCCTAGTAGCAATTACAGAAACCTGACTTCAAGCAGCAGATTCTGCTTCTCCCGCAGCACTTTCCAATGGAGGCCTTCTCTGGACCCACTCACCCAGACCCAGTGGTCGGAAAAGTGTAGGAGTTGGTTTGCTTCTATTCCCACTGAGCACCTTTCAAGTCCTCCATAACCCTCCCTCTCTATCCTTCTCTTCTTTCAAGACTCAGTGCATTCAGATATTTTCTCCCATTTCTCTGAGGATTGCAGTGATCTATCGGCCTCCTGGACCAGTGTCACGCTTTCTTGATGATTTCTCCCCTTGGCTACTTTACTTTCTCTCCTCTGAACTACCCACTATCATTCTTGGAGATTTTAACATTAATGTGAACAACCCAGCTACATCCCAACTCTTTAACCTAACCTCATCTTTTGCCTTAACAAGATTCTGGGAATATATTAGACCTTGTCTTCTCCCATCGTTGCACTCCCTACAACCTCACAAACACCCCCTTTCCTCTGTATGATCACAATATCATCACCTTCACAGTGTCCTCATCTTTAAACACTTATCCCCCCAAGCAGCAAACAATTACCCGCAGAAACCTTCACAACTTTAACCCTTCTCTTTTCTGCTCTGCAACTGACCACCTCTATGATAGAATCTCTCCCCTGTCTTGCCCTGACCTGGCCACTGCTGTCTACAACAGTTCTCTTTCATCCACACTAGACTCACTTGCTCCTCTAAACAACACGAAGCACCAGGCCACGACCATTACAACCTTGGCAGACTGACGACACAAGAAATCTTATGCGACATAGTCGTGCGCTGGAGCGATTGTGGCGTAAAAACCAAATATCACTAAGCTTTCACCCAATATAAATCTGCTTTCTTAACATACAATTCCTCCCTCCATGCTGCCAAACAAGACTACTTTGTCACTCTCATCAATAGCTTGTCATCCAGTCCTCATCGTCTCTTCTCTACTTTCAACTCTCTACTTTCTCCACCCAGTACCTCACTCACTGCTTATGAGATTGCAAATCATTTCAAAAACAAGATTGATGCAATTCGTAGGGGCATCTCCACTGCACAGACATCCATCCCACTTAGCATAACTTATACTAAACCTCCCTCAACACTTTCCTCTTTTGACTTTGCTACTACTGAAGAGGTCACTAAGGTTTTCTCAGAATCCCATCTCACTACCTGCCCCCTGGATCCTGTCCCCTCGCAACTACTATGGTCACCCTCTTCTTCCACTCTATGCTCCTTCACTCATATCTTCAATCTTTCCCTCTCTAACGGTGCCTTCCTCTCCCCTGTAAAGCATGCACACATTACTCCCATACTTAAAATGCCCTCCCTGGACCCCACCAACCTGAACAAGTTAAGACCCATCTCCCTGCTCCCGATTACCTCAAAACTCTTGGAATGCTTAGTCTACAATTGCCTGAGCTCCTACCTTACTGACAACAACCTTCTTGACCCTTTACAGTCTGGCTTTCGCTCACTCCACTCCACTGAAACTGCCCAACTAAAACTCACTAATGATCTACTAACTGCTAAAAACCAATGGCCACTACTCCTTACTCTTACTACTTGACCTCTCTGCGGCTTTTGATATTGCTGAACATCCCCTCCTCCTCAAAAAAACTCCACTCTTGGCCTCCGAGACTCTCTCTTGGTTCTCCTCCTACTTATCGCAGCGCTCATTTAGCGTTACCTATAACTCTGGCTCCTCCTCTCCACTCCCTCTTTCTGTAGGGGTCCCTCAAGGTTCTGTCATTGGACCCCTACTCTTCTCTATCTACACCTCCTCCCTTGGTCACTTGATAGACTCCCATGGCTTTAAGTATCATCTCTATGCTGATGACACACAAATCTATCTTTCTACTTCTCACCTCACCCCTTCAGTCTCTTCTCGCATTACTAACCTACTAAGTGACATATCGGCATGGATGTCCCTCCATGTCCTCAAACTCAATCTTTCTAATACTGAGCTCATACTATTCCCTTCAGCCCGTGCCCCCTCCCCTGACTTCTCCATCAAGTACAATAACGCAACCATCAGTCCCTCCCCTCATGCCAGGGTACTAGGTGTAATCTTAGACTCCCATCTGTCCTTTCAGCCCCAAATCCAATCGCTGTCCAAATCTTTTAGACTTCACCTCCACAACAGGCTATCCCCTCTTCAGTCTATCATGAATGCTGCTGCCAGACTCCACCTTACTAACTGTTCCATATCTGCCACCCCTCTCTGCCAATCCCTCCACTGGCTTCCCATTGCCCAATGAATAAATTCAAAACATTAACATATAAAGCCAATTATAACTCTGCCCCAAATGACATCACCAATCTTGTCTCCGAATATCACCCAAACCATACTCTCCACTCCTCGCATGACCTCCTGCTCTCTAGCTCCCTTATCTCCTCCTCCCATGCTCGTCTCCAGAGCTTCCCCCATCCTCTGGAACTCTCTACCCCAATTTATCAGACTATTGCCTACTCTGCTCACTTTTAGGCGATACTGCCCTCAGCTAATAATGGAATCTTCTACTCCTCCTACCAGTCCATCCCCCACAGTTACTACCTTTTGTACCGCTAGCCCCTTTCTCCTTCACTGGTGTGCGTTGATGAGGCTGCACTTATAGGCAGCACTGATGGGCACTGATGAGGTGGCACAGATAGGTAGCATTGATAGGCTGCACTTATGAGACGGCAGTGGTGGGCATTGATGAGGAGGCACTGATGATGCTGCACTGGTATGCAGTAATGATGGACACTGATAGGCGGCACTGATGGGCACTGACTGATGGCACTTATGGGCAACACTGACTGGCAGCACTGACTGATGGCACTGACTGGCGGCACTGCTGGATACTGATGGGCACAACTGCTGGGCAGCACCGATGGGTGGCACTGCTGGGCACTTATGGGCGGCACTGCAGGGCACTGATCATCAGGTGCCCTGATGATCAGTGCCGATCTGCTCTGTGACAGCTGCCAGTTTATCAGCAGTACTTTCCTCATGCTGTGACAGCGTGAGGAAAGTGCTGCCGGTAACCAGCAACTGTATTTACTCCGTGATTTACTGTGCCAATGAATTTGAAAAAGAATCTAAATTTGAAATGGAAACATATATTGCAATAAATACAAGTCATAAGAGTGAAATATGAAAATGATTCCTACATAGGCTTCAGAATAGAATAGGATAGAATAGAAAAGGGTAGAATAGAATAAAATAGAATAAAATAGGATAGAAAATAAAGGAATAGAATATAAGTGATAAAAAATTGTGCGTTGCCAAATAATTAAATAAATGGTGAAACAATTTTGAATATGAGCTGCTGCAAACACATAAAATGTGTGTTCGTCACATGTGAAATAATAAACCAGTGTGTAGTTCTGCACTGCTCAAACTATAACATATAAATAAATCCAAAAAAAATGTAAAAAACTCAACAATATACGTCCAAAAGGAAAAGGAAGGAAAAACTCTTCAACAATGTAGGTGGGAAGAACATATTCCTACTGGAGAGTAAGCCCACTATTCCGGTGCTGTAAGTCTGAAATGATCATGCTTGATTAGCGTCATTCAGGTCCATAGGTGACAATAAAGTTAAAGAAAACCTGTCATTGAATCTGCTTTTGCTGACCTCTCATTCTGAAAATACTAGTCTGGCTCCTATGTTAATCCATTGGCTTCTACAGTTGCAAGAAAAAGTATGTGAACCCCTTGGGATTACGTGGAGTTTTGCATGAATTGGGCATAAAATGTGCTCTGAACGTCATCTAAGTCACAACAATAGAAGAATACAGTCTGCTGAACATAATACTACACAAACATTAGATGTTGCCATGGTTTAATTGCACATAACATGTAAACATTCACAGTGCAGGGAGGAAAAAGTATGTGAAGCCCTAGCTTAATGACTTCTCCCAGAGCTAATTGGAGCCAGGAGTGAGCCAACCTTGACTCCAATCAGTGAGATGATATTGGATGTGTTGCTGACAGCTGTCCTGCCCTTACAAACACACACCTGTTTTGGGTTTACTGGTTTCAAGAAGCACTGTCTGATGTGAACCATACCTCGCAGAAAAGAGCTCTCAGAAGACCTGCGATCAAGAATTGTTGACTTGCATGAAGCTGGAAAGGGTTACAAAAGTATCTCCAAAAGCCTTGATGTTCATGTGTCCATAGTAAGACAGACTGTCTACAAATGGAGAAAGTTTAGCACTGTTGCTACCCTCCCTAGGCGTGGTCGTCCTGTAAAAATGACTGCAAGAGCACAACGCAGAATGCTGCATGAGGTAAAGAAGAATCCCAGAGTGTCAGCTAAAGACCTACAGAAATCTCTACATGCACATGCTAACATTTTTGTTGACACATCTACAATAAGGAAAACATTAAACAAGAATGGAGCACATGGGAGGACACCACAGAGGAAGCCATTGCTGTCCAAATAGAATATTGCAGCACATTTGAAGTTTGCAAAAGAGCACCTGGAAGTTCCACAGCACTATTGGCAAAATATACTGTGGACAGATGAAAACCAAGATTGAGTTGTTTGGGAAGAACACACAACACTATGTGTGGAGAAAAAAAGGCACAGCACACCAACATCAAAACCTCATCCCCACTGTAAAACATGGCGGAGGGAGCATCATGGTTTGGGGCTGCTTTGCTGCCTCAGGGCCTGGACGGATTGTTGTCATTGATGGGAAAATGTATTCCAGAGTTTATCAAGACATTTTGCAGGAAACCGTACGACCATCTGTCCGCCAACTGAAGCTCCGCAGAGGATGGGTGATGCAACAGGACAATGACCCAAAGCATACAAGTAATTCAACAAAACAATGGCTGCAACAGCACAGAATACGCTTTCTGGAGTGGCCCAGTCAGAGTACTGACCTCAACCCGATTGAAATGCTGTGGCATGACCTTAAGAGAGCGATTCACGGCAGACATCCCAAGAATATTGCTACACACTGAAACAGTTTTGTGAAGAGGAGTGGTCCAAAATGACTCCAGATCGTTGTGCAGGTCTGATTTGCAACTACAGGAAACGTTTGGTTGAGGTTATTGCTGCCAAAGGAGGGTCAACCAGTTATTAAGTCCAAAGGTTCACATACTTTTTCCTCCCTGCACTGTGAATGTTTACATGTTATGTGCAAATAAATCATGGCAACATCTAATGTTTGTGTAGTATTATGTTCAGCAGACTGTGTTCTTCTATTATTGTGACTTAGATGACGTTCAGAGCACATTTTATGCCCAATTCATGCAAAACTCCACGTAATCCCAAGGGGTTCACATACTTTTTCTTTGCAACTGTATACTTTGAGCGACTGATTTAAGCAGGCCATAGATGATTCAGTTTTCTTTCCTTCCACCACAAGTGGCAGGAAAGAAATTCGCTCAATTCCCCTCTCAACACACTCCGTGTTGATGGGGAATGCCTTCTGTGGGACTATTGTGTTTTGCAGGCAGGGAGCCTTCCCTGCTGGCAGAATGCAATGATCACTGCTAGTGGCTATAGTCACCAGCAATAATCACATACAAAAAATCTGACAGGTTGGTTCTACTAAAGTCAATTAATAGATTAACTTCAGTACAACCAGCCTACCCATAGATGGACTGAATCTCGGCTTGCTTAATCAGCCGAGATTCAATCCATCTATGGCTGGCTTTAGAACAAGTATACAGATAATAATAAACTTTATTTACTCAGCTATCTGAATACTTGTTTCAGGTTAGTGATTCCAAAAGTACTGAATCCAGGACATCAGCATAACAGACAGTTAAGTAGCAGTTTTAGGAGGAGATAGTCAATAGCATCCCTCGATGTTTCTTTTATGCCAGGTATACTTTAATTAAAGAAAATGAATGATCATTGGTAATAGTCTTTCAGGTTGTTTGGCACATATAAAAGTAAGGGATTGATATGAGGTGCAGTTAGGGTGGTACGGGTTGGTTTGAATGCAGGATGTTTTTTGTGAGAAAAAAATACAATGCTACTGATCAATAAAATGTGGAGAAAAGGGAGTGTAAGGTTGTTGGTAGCAATCATTCAGGTGTTCTTTTTATTGCATAATAGAAAAAGGTTCTTGATTTAGTTATCTGATTGGTTGTTCAAGGCTACGCATATTTTCTGTTCTGCTGTTGAAACTAGTCAGCCTCTTTTTTTTTTTTTTTGTAGGCTGGCTGCAAGGTGACGGTGACCCTCTTCTTGTATTTCTTGGCCACTAACCACTACTGGATCCTAGTGGAAGGTCTCTATCTGCACAGCCTCATCTTCATGGCATACCTGTCTGACCGCAGCTACTTCTGGGCGCTGACAATCATTGGCTGGGGTGAGATAAGTGGTGATGTTTCCAGGGCATATACTGTATATGAAGGGGGCAAAGTGATATCTTGTAGTTTTTAATGCGGTGGATATTTTTTTAAGTGATATTCTTACATCTTTTTTCTGCATGCTTCTGTTGCTTATCTTGTCATTCAGCTAGGCAAAAACCATCCAGATTTTTTTTTTTACATTTGTGTCTCTACTGGTCTTTGAGACCTTTTTGGAAAGATGCCCCCTATTTCTGATTGAAACATGTCAGGTATTAATTAATTAAGGGCCAAGCTTTTTGGTTCCCCTGCAGAAGCTTGCTGCACAATGTACACCTATAGCAAATCCATAGAGGACCGGTGCTGCAGATGCCTGGAATATGTCCATGGGTATGTCCCCTACTGTATATACAGTTGCAAAAAAAAGTATGTGAACCCCTTGGGATTACGTGGATTTTTTGCAGAATTGGGCTTTCTGAACATCATATAAGTCACAACAATACAAGCTCTTACACAAACATTTTTTGCCATGGTTTAATTGCACATAACATGTAAACATTCACAGTGCAGGGAGGGATGTGACCTTTGGTAACTGATTGACCCTCCTTTGGCAGCAATAACCTCAACCAAACTGTATAGATCAGACCTGCACAATGATCTGGAGTAATTTTGGACCACTCCTCTTCACAAAAACTGTTTCATGTAGCAATACTCTTGGGATGTCTGGTGTGCCATTTTATGCCCCATTCTGCAAAACTCCACGTAATCCCAAGGGGTTCACATATTTTTTCTTGCAACTGTAGCTAAACCTGACTTTGTTTCTCTTTTTGCATTAAGTGGGAAGGGTTAGAACCTCTTACCCACATAGGTGTTAATTGATGTATGTGTCACTGTTTGGAAGATTGACCCTCTCTTTAATTCTGGTGATAATGGTAAAAAAAAAGAATATTTTACAGTCAGCAGAAAAAAGAAAAAAAAGGAAATCTTCTGATAACAACACCAGTTCTGAACACAACTGTCTATAAAGATTAAAGGCTGTTGTGACTCCAGCACACAAAATGAAGAGAAATTTCCCCAATGGGACACGTTTACCTTTACTGAGTGATATATAGCAATTGCCATTACTGACTTCTCTCAAAATGCTAGTTATTTGTCTATTTATCTTTTTCAGGACTCCCTGCGGTATTTGTCTCTGTGTGGGCAAGTGTACGGGTGTCTCTAGCAGATACACAGTATGTACCATTTGTGTTGTCATCTAACTTGCCCTTTTCCCTTTAAAGGAGTGCAGTTATGAGTAAAACTTGGAGACTGTCACTATTAATCTCTTCTTGAAATGATAACTGTGCAGTGCTCATGCTGATTCGCTGGATTTAATATTTCAAGCCACTGCCCTGGAATAGGTACTGTATGTAAAGATGGAATGCTGACTTTTGTCTGAGTCAGTTGATCTGAGTACTTGTTTCAGGATGGTGATTCAAAGTATTAATGCCAATGGGTCAGAACAATAGCCAGGAAACTAGCCTTTTAAAAACGAGGCAAGTGCACTGTAAAGTGGTATTAAACCCAAAAGCAAACATTTACAGTATTGTATTGCAGCTTAGATATGATGGCTGTATTCGTTTTCTTTTTTAGGCTTTCTATCTTCTTTTTTTTGTCCAGTTAGCAAGTCTGCTGTTTTTCAAAAGAGCAAGCTCTCTTGCAAGATGCATTAATTTACAGGGGTTAGACAAACCATTTAACACTGACAGGGTTGCTTACAATGATCAGTTTTATTTATGTATGCAGCACCTGCTAGTTAGAGAAGGCTGCTAGGAAAGTTTGGCTCTCCCGTAATCAACAGAGCAAGAGATTGATTACTTACGGCTGCTCAGTGTTTCACAGGCTGCTGCTCTGTTACTTCCCCCAGCAGTTGTGCAGTGCAGTGCAGCTTTAAGTAAAGCAGTCCTCAAGTTGTCCAAGTTTGTAGTACCTGGGTATCCCATGCTCTGACTCTATCCAAGTTCATCGTTCCCAAATAGCAACCCAAAAGAAACCCCTACCCTGTTCTTTGGAGCCATTGGAAAAATGCAGAAAATGCGGTGTGTCTGGCTGTGTGCTTTAAGGGGAAAATAGGACTTTGCGGGGGGTGCGCTACACGTAAAATCTTTATCCCAAAAGGAAAAACTCTGCTGTGACTGCTTATACAGTGTTAGGTGGAGTTCAGCTTCAATTTGTTAGTGTATCTTAATCTGATAGTACTCTAACACTCCCCTCCCCAGACTGACAATACTGCTGTCTGCTGTGCCTCCAGTGCTCCTTCATCCAGAGGGGGGTGCTCTAATACAGGAGGTGTGTTGCTGGCCAGATCACCAGGTAAAAACAGAGGGGGAAAAAAGCCTAAAAAAAAAAAATGATGCAGCCACCACATCTAAGGATTGGTAAGCTGCAATATATTACATTTTTGGTTTTCAGTTTAATACTACTTTAGGAAAGGACTACAGTATGATGGAACTGCAGAATGTTGTTTTAACATGAGGATCTGCTGAAATCACTAAATACATACAGATATCACTTTCACCTTCATGTTATGGGGGAGCAACCAATTTACAGCCCAGTGCCTAATGCCCTCACAAACAATGCATCAGGGCTCACCCTCTGCATCTCTGTAATTTATAATGGTAGAATACTGTAGAATAGGAGAAGATGATGTTGTATCAGAGGGGAACAGCTTTTTTTTCTGATTCAGACTTGTTCCACTACGAGGAGGGGGGATCACAATCAGGTTTTGGTTTTCTTACATTCTTCCACAAGTGGCTGAATATTAGAAGCTTGGGGACCTCCAACAATGACAGACTCCAAAAATATTGCCAACTTCAGTTAGAGGACTTGGGTATTCCTTTGACCTTGCAACTTATCACTAGGTGCCACAGAAACAGCAAAATAATTTGTTGGAATTCAATGCTCATGTATTTTATGCAACAACTACATCAGTATACAGTAGAGATATATTTGTCAACTAGTTGCTGCATCTATGGTACTGTAAACTCTATGTCTTTTCACTGAAATAAGTTTCCTGGTTGCAGAGAAGCAGATGAACAATTGTGGACTGTACACTGTTTGTTCTGTAGGGCTATATACAGAATTTATAACAGGTTATCAGCCCAATTTCCCAGTCATAGCCTGCTACAGCAAATAGGTGCAAGATACAGCAACAGAAAGAAGACTGCAACAGATTAAAAGAAAATGACCAGTAACATAGCTGTAACAAAGCTTTCTTTTGCAAGCCTGACAAACCAGAACTACCAGTCTTGGGAATTCAAAATGAAAATGCTGCTAATAAGGGAAGGTATGTGGAAATGTACAGTATAAATGAAGTCATGCCAGAACAGTTTTCAGATGAGTGGACATAGAAAGATCAGAAAGCTCAGAGCACAATCTCTCTTAGCATAAAAGATGATCAAATCATACATGTATATAAGTGTGAAACTTGTAAAGAAGTGTGGGAAGGGTTACAAAAGGTGCAAAAAAGAGCTAATCAGTTAAATCGGTGAAATCAGCAATAAACGGTTTGATTAGAAAGCTATGCCAAACCAAGATGATGAAAGGCCAGGATATGTAGGATTACATAAGGCCCACCCTGGAAATGGTTGACCGCCTGAGAGGTACAGGAGAAGAAATAAAAGATTTTCATGTTGCAACACTATTACTTAGTGGTTTACCAGAAAGTTATGAAACGCTTGTCACAGCACTTGATGCAAGTCCAGATGATGAACTGACATTGGAATATGATATGGGCAAGCTTATGGGTGAGAAATAGCGTAAAACAGAAAGCATCAATAATGGCGGTGCCTCTGTGGCAGAGTTTGCTTTAAAGGCGAAAAATAGGAATACAAACAGTAACCTGCAACAAGAAACACGTAAATGCTTTGTGTGCAAGAAACAAGGTCATTTAAAAGAAAATTGCAGAATCTGGAAAGCTAGAATGCAAAAAACAAACTAAACTACAAAAGGCCAAAAATGTGAGGGGAGAAACTAATTTTTCTTCAGATAATGAACATGTAATCAGTCCAAAAACTGGACCTTATCTTTGCAGTCATGGTGTGTTGATTAAGGAGCTGTGAGTCACATGTCTTTATTCACTTTGACCAGAGTAAAACAAAAAGTAGAAGTATAATTGTCAATGAACCTTCAGCGTATTCAAAATTTCATGAACTAACACAAACACTTCAAACTGAAGGAAATTCAGTATCACTTGAAGATAAACAATGGAGTGACACATAGAAATTTACGCAGACAATCCAAACACTGTATAAGAAGAAACCAGGCCACAAGAGGCTTCAATCAGGAAATACACTAGAAGCAATAAAGGCATCCCAGCCAAATGCCTGTCCTATGTTGCTTGCGTAGCATTAAAACCAGAGCCAGATTCATGGGATGAGATGCAAAGACTTCCAAGCCATGAGAAACAACAGTGGATCAGATGCTTTGACAAAAAGGCTTACAAGAAACAGATTTAGAGAACTAAGATCTGAAATAGGACTAATATAAGGAGTAGTTGTTCTAATACAATGTTCATGTATTGTATGTTACAATTACATTGGTATTCAGTAGAGATATATAATTCAACCAGTAGATGGCAGCATTTATAAGTTAATTTGGTCCCTAGAGGGTGTAGGAGCATAGGACTAAGGCAAGATCCCATTTCTTTGTGTGTGTGTGTAAAAAGAATCAGTTGGCAGTTTGTGATATGTTGTTTTGCTTCTTTTGATGCTAATTTGATTATTAACTCTCTTCTTTTGTAGTGTTTTTTACATGTTCTGCAAACAAATGCATTTTTGAATGAATGTTACAGAGTAATGCATGCTATTTTCTAATGTTAAATATATATCTAAAAATTACAGTAATACTCTGTTATATGCCAAATAATTTTCAATGTCTAATTCGAATTTTCTTATATCTACTTATACAGTGGGGATCGAAAGTTTGGGCACCCCAGCTAAAAATTTGTATTAATGTGCATAAAGAAGCCAAGGAAAGATGGAAAAATCTCCAAAAGGCATCAAATTAAAGATTAGACATTCTTATAATATGTCAACAAAAGTTAGATTTTATTTCCATCATTTACACTTTCAAAATAACAGAAAACAAAAAAATGGCGTCTGCAAAAGTTTGGGCACCCTGCAGAATTTATAGCATGCACTGCCCCCTTTGCCAAGCTGAGACCTGCCAGTGTCATGAATTGTTCTCAATCATCGTCTGGGAAGACCAGGTGATGTCAATCTCAAAGGTTTTAAATGCCCAGACTCATCTGACCTTGCCCCAATAATCAGCACCATGGGTTCTTCTAAGCAGTTGTCTAGAAAACTGAAAATAGTTGACGCTCACAAAGCTGGAGAAGGCTATAAGAAGATAGCAAAGCGTTTTCAGATGTCAATATCCTCTGTTCGGAATGTAATTAAGAAATGGCAGTCATCAGGAACAGTGGAAGTTAAAGCAAGATCTGGAAGACCAAGAAAAATATCAGACAGAACAGCTCGCAGGATTGTGAGAAAATTCAAAACCCACGTTTGACTGCACGATCCCTCCAGAAAGATCTGGCAGACACTGGAGTTGTGGTACACTATTCCACTATAAAGAGATACTTGTACAAATATGGTCTTCATGGAAGAGTCATCAGAAGAAAACCTCTTCTACGTCCTCACCACAAAAATCATCGTTTGAACTTTGCAAATGAACATATAGACAAGCCTGATGCATTTTGGAAACAAGTTCTGTGGACCGATGAGGTTAAAATTGAACTTTTTGGCCGGAATGAGCAAAGGTACGTTTGGAGAAGAAGGGGCACAGAATTTAATGAAAATAAACTCTGTCCAACTGTTAAGCATGGGGTTGGATCAATCATGCTTTGGGGTTGTGTTGCAGCCAGTGGCACAGGGAACATCTCACGAGTAGAAGGAAAAATGGATTCAATAAAATTTCAGCAAATTTTGCATGGTAACTTGATGCCATCTGTGAAAAAGCTGAAGTTAAAGAGAGGATGGCTTCTACAAATGGATAATGATCCTAAACACACCTCGAAAACCACGGGGGATTACATCAAGAGGCGTAAACTGAAGGTTTTGCCATGGCCTTCACAATCTCCTGACCTCAACATAATTGAAAAATCTATGGATAGACCTTAAAAGAGCAGTGCGTGACAGACAGCCCAGAAATCTCAAAGAACTGGAAGACTTTTGTAAGGAAGAATGGGCAA